TGGCTCGCGAGCCGCGGCTTGCCGACCACTGTGATAGACAGTCCATGTTTTATTAGATGATCAGTAAAATGACAATTTTATAGTCTTGCTACATTCTGTTTCTTGCTCTTTAAATTCCTTCCTCTCTTAAGTAAACCATCAGATATAGGTTGACAGAACAATGATGATAATTAAGATGGCGCCTTCATCGGAGTCTCACCCGAGGTGACTCATTAGGACAAAAGTATCTTTTAATCTAAACAACCCCCATAAAAGGGAATGAGTCTTTTTGGGGAAAATGATTGGAAGATATCAACACGGATGGAAGAACAAGCAGAAACCCAGTGGACTTGTCACCCAATCAATGGATATGCTTTGCCTGCATCATATGCCCTATAAATGATACTGTTAGTTCCTCAATAAAACAGAATTTTAGGAAGTTGGCAAACTGCGCAGTGTCAGTGTCAGTGTCTTACTTCCACGTATTCTCATATTAATTTGGCTCACTGGTAGATCACGGTAAATGGTCTGTAAGTGACCGAGTCCAAAACAACAGTGTGCTGAAAAGTAAAATAGTAAAAAAAAGAACAAATTTAATAAAAAATAATATAAACATTTGACAAAAGTACAAATTCAATTATTATTTTCACCAGAGAAATGTAGCAGAACACAGTTTGACCTAAATTTATGAAGAAATTTTATTTATCGTGTCAGAGGCAGGCTGGGGTGATTGGGTGGGGGTGTGCTCTAGAGGCAGGCTGTGATTGGAAGGGGATAAGATCAAGAGGCATGTTTGGTGGTGGTGGGGGGGGGGGGGGGCGTCCAAGAGGCAGGCTGTGATTGGGTGGGGGTGTGCTCTAGAGGCAGGCTGTGATTGGAAGGGGATAAGATCAAGAGGCATGTTGGTGGTGGGGGGGGGGGGAGCGTCCAAGAGGCAGGCTGTGATTGGGTGGAGGTGTGCTCTAGAGGCAGGCTGTGATTGGAAGGGGATAAGATTATTACTACGAGTTTATTACTACGAGTTTCAAGATCAAGAGGCAGGTTGGTGGTGGTGGTGGGGGGAGTGTTCAAGAGGCAGGCTGTGATTGGGTGGGGGTGTGCTCTAGAGGCAGGCTGTGATTGGAAGGGGATAAGATCAAGAGGCATGTTGGTGGTGGTGGGGGGGGGAGCGTCCAAGAGGCACGCTGTGATTGGGTGGGGGTGTGCTCTAGAGGCAGGCTGTGATTGGAAGGGGATAAGATCAAGAGGCATGTTGGTGGTGGGGGGGGAGCGTCCAAGAGGCAGGCTGTGATTGGGTGGGGGTGTGCTCTAGAGGCAGGCTGTGATTGGAAGGGGATAAGATCAAGAGGCAGGTTGGTGGTGGTGGTGGGGGGAGCGTCCAAGAGGCAGGCTGTGATTGGGGGGGGGTGTGCTCTAGAGGCAGGCTGTGATTGGAAGGGGATAAGATCAAGAGGCATGTTGGTGGTGGGGGGGGGGGGGGGGGGAGCGTCCAAGAGGCACGCTGTGATTGGGTGGGGGTGTGCTCTAGAGGCAGGCTGTGATTGGAAGGGGATAAGATCAAGAGGCATGTTGGTGGTGGGGGGGGGAGCGTCCAAGAGGCAGGCTGTGATTGGGTGGGGGTGTGCTCTAGAGGCAGGCTGTGATTGGAAGGGGATAAGATCAAGAGGCAGGTTGGTGGTGGTGGTGGTGGGGGGGGGAGCGTCCAAGAGGCAGGCTGTGATTGGGTGGGGGTGTGCTCTAGAGGCAGGCTGTGATTGGAAGGGGATAAGATCAAGAGGCATGTTGGTGGTGGTGGGGGGGGGGGCGTCCAAGAGGCAGGCTGTGATTGGGTGGGGGTGTGCTCTAGAGGCAGGCTGTGATTGGAAGGGGATAAGATCAAGAGGCATGTTGGTGGTGGGGGGGGGGGGGGGGGGGGGGCGTCCAAGAGGCAGGCTGTGATTGGGTGGGGGTGTGCTCTAGAGGCAGGCTGTGATTGGAAGGGGATAAGATCAAGAGGCATGTTGGTGGTGGGGGGTGTCCAAGAGGCAGGCTGTGATTGGGTGGGGGTGTGCTCTAGAGGCAGGCTGTGATTGGAAGGGGATAAGATCAAGAGGCAGGTTGTGCCGGGGGGGGGGACGTCCAAGAGGTAGGCTGTGATTGGGTGGGGGGTGTGCTCAAAAGGCAGGCTCTGATTGGTCGGGTAGTGTGGTGGCCGAACAAACTACACAATCCAAGCATGCTGTGTGTCTGTACAGTGTCCTGTACCTCTGATAGCCAGCCAAAGGAGAAAACTGACCACTCTTCACACAGATCAGCTTCTGTACTTGGTGTGGTCAATTTAGAACAAGGAAGAAAGACGACGGGCAGGATCAACCAGGTACTCCAGATAGAAGAAGTCCATGAAAATGATAGAGAATATGATTTCTAAAATACACATGTATATTGTATGTGAATGAACCAATAGAAAATAAATATTTAGGGTAACATACACTTTAAGGGCGCAAAGATACAAAACACAGTTAACACAGGTAACAAAGCATAGTCACTTTCTGGTTGCCACGCATCAGGTTACAGATACAGGATATGTATATACTGACAATAGATAAATGGCAGTTGTATCAGGAAATAATTATAATCATTATGAGAACCGATTGCATGATGTGAATGAAGATCCGATACAGTGCATTTTAACAGAGCTGGGGGGGGGAGGGGGGTTAGGTTTATAAGCAGGGGTAGGAAGAAGGCAATAAAATGACCCCCCCCCCCCTCTTGAGGAATAAAGAAGTTTGCTGTTTATCTGCTCTGAAAGTAGAAGGTGTCGGACATTTTGACATTTCGTGATATCGGCCATAAACCGTGAAAGGTCCATTATAATGACATTATCTGTGATATGCACACAGAGATAACGCACTCTGCAAGATAACGCATGCTCGCTACTGTGCATGGACTGAGACGGAGAATCTGATTGGGTGCTGTATTGGAATCCGGGTTGGTTACTGTAAGTTATTCCGGAAAGTCTTAGGGCTCATTCACATCTTTTCAGTGCGGCGCGTTGCAGGAACATGCGTAGTGCATTGTGGGAACCAGCTTTAAACAATGCAGCATTAACCCCTCCCAGCCCAGCCCTGGTGTCTCTCTTTAACACGGTCAGTCCATCCAAGAAGGCAGGGAGGATTGGCTGTCACAGTGGTCACACGTCTGGTGGTCACACGGTCTGACACAGTGGTCACACTGACACAGTGGTCACACGGCTGTCACAGTGGTCACACGGCTGTCAGCCGGTCTCGGCTCCCAATCATTAGTACAGACTGAGAACTATCTTGGACAGCTTGGTCACTGTGCTGGGAATGCACTTTCAGCACAGAAAGCTCTGCCGCTCATGGACACAAAGAATAAGTTCACCTCTTGGGGAAAAAATAATGATTGGCTGTCACAGTGGTCACACGGCTGTCACAGTGGTTACATGGCTGTCAGCCGGTTTCGGCTCCCAATCAGTACAGACTGAGCTTTCTTGGACAGCTTGGTCACTGTGCTGGGAATGCACTTTCAGCACAGAAAGCTCTTCTGCTCATGGACACAAAGGATACGTTCACCGTTTGGGGAAAAAATAATGATTGGCTGTCACAGTGGTCACACGGCTGTCACAGTGGGTCACAGTGGGCTGTCAGCCGGTCTCAGCTCCCAATCATTAGTACAGACTGAGAACTATCTTAGACAGCTTGGTCACTTTGCTGGGAATGCACTTTCAGCACAGAAAGCTCTGCCGCATGGACACAAAGGATAAGTTCACCTCTTGGGGAAAAAATAATGATTGGCTGTCACAGTGGTCACATGGCTTACAGTGGTCACATGGCTGTCAGCCGGTTTCGGCTCCCAATCAGTACAGACTGAGCTGTCTTGGACAGCTTGGTCACTTTGCTGGGAATGCACTTTCAGCACAGAAAGCTCTTCTGCTCATGGACACAAAGGATACGTTCACGTTTGGGGAAAAAATATGATGAGTGGTCACACGGCTGTCACAGTCACACGGCTGTCACAGTGGTCACACGGCTGTCACAGTGGTCACACGGCTGTCACAGTGGTCACACGTCTGTCACAGTGGTCACATGGCTGTCAGTCGGTCTCAGCTCCCAGTCATTAGTACAGACTGAGAACTGTCTTGGACAGCTTGGTCACTGTGCTGGGAGCACTTTCAGCACAGAAAGCTCTGCTGCTCATGGACACAAAGAATAAGTTCACCTTTTGGGGAAAAAATAATAAATACACATATTTTTACAGGAAAAAAAAATTGGCATTTATTACTTTTTCCCTAAGGTGCCTGGAAAGCATTAACTCACGATCAGTGGATCAGGGGTGGTGTGCGGGTGTTAGACTCCTGCAGACAAGCCCTGCAGCTTTCAGCCTGTACCTTCATATGGGCTGAATGTTTACAAGCTGTAGGACTTGTGAATGGACTTCGAACAAATGCTCATCAGCGCCCTCGCAGTTCATACAGAACTACAAGCTGTCAGCCGCAATGGCTGATGGTACTTGTAGTTTATGCATTCATAGGAAACTGAATGAATGATGTGGCTGGTGAGGGCGGCGCTGCTTTTGAATTGGGACAGCGGCGGGTGGGGGGGAGAGGATGACTGTCTCCTTCAGACAATTATGTCTGCACAAAGCTGCATGCACCTAGCATCTCCCTGCTGAACTGGCTCCCTCATGTGTCCTAGGTGGAGCCCTCCTGACTCCCTGGCTGAGACCTCCTCTGTCTGCCGGGATGGAGCCCTGAACCATAGCCATTTGTCTAACAAAAGCCCTGCATTCATCTCCGCAATCAGTGTAGTGGATGTCTGCAAAACCCGGAGTCAGGATTGGAAATTTCCTCCCAGGTCTCTATAAAGCCTCAAGGCTCCAAGACCCGAACTGAGCTTTACCGATCTCTGAGGAAAATAAGTCCCAATTTCAATTGTACTACATAAGCACCCTGGAGCCCCGGACCCAATGACCACCTATGTAAGGGGCATTCTTCCCACTGACCTCCAATGTAAGGGACATTCTTCCCACTGACCTCCAATGTAAGGGACATTCTTCTCACTGATCACCAATGTAAGGGACATTCTTCCCACTGACCCCCAATGTAAGGGACATTCTTCTCACTGACCCCCAATGTAAGGGACATTCTTCCCACTGACCCCCAATGTAAGGAGCATTCTTCCCACTGACCCCCAATGTAAGGAGCATTCTTCCCACTGACCCCAATGTAAGGGACATTCTTCCCACTGATCCACCAATGTAAGGGACATTCTTCCCACTGATCCCCAATGTAAGGGACATTCTTCCCACTGACCACTGACATTCTTCCCCCCTCCCCAATGTAAGGGACATTCTTCCCACTGATCACCAATGATTCTTCCCACTGACCCCCCAATGTAAGGGACATTCTTCCCACTGACCACCAATGTAAGGAACATTCTTCCCACTGACCACCAATGTAAGGACATTCTTCCCACTGACCACCAATGTAAGGGACATTCTTCCCACTGACCACCAATGTAAGGACATTCTTCCCACTGACACCAATGTAAGGGACATTCTTCCCACTGACCACCAATGTAAGGACATTCTTCCCATGACCCCCAATGTAAGGGACTTCTTCCCACTGACCCCCAATGTAAGGGACATTCTTCCCACTGACCCCAATGTAAGGGACATTCTTCCCACTGACCACCAATGTAAGGGAACATTCTTCCCACTGACCCCAATGTAAGGGACATTCTTCCCACTGATCACCAATGTAAAGGGACATTTTTCCCCTGACCCCCAATGTAAGGGACGTTCTTCCCACTGACCCCCAATGTAAGGGACATTCTTCCTACTGACCCCCAATGTAAGGGACATTCTTCCCACTGACCCCCAATGTAAGGGACATTCTTCCCTGATCACAATGTGATTTTCTTCCCACTGATCACCAATGTAAGGGACATTCTTCCCACTGACCCCCAATGTATTGATTTTAGTATGGGTTAAAAGGGTTGAGAAAGCCCTCCAGAAGCTCACAGGTAGATATTTCTGTACTCTGTATATCATAAATCATCTCATTCATTAATATGTTTCTCTCTCCTATTAATGCCCACAAGTCCCATTTTATACCCACTTAGCTGGTAATTTGTTGGTAGACGTGTGTCCCCATAACACGCCATCACTGTACCCTGCATAGCAGTTCACAAATGACAGGAACATGCTAAACATGTTGACGAGTAATTGACGTGTGATTGTTATGTTCAGGGGCAGACTGACAAGTCATGGGGTCCCCGGGCAAAAGGGGATCATGCAGGGGTGGACTGACCATTTGGAAACTCAGGCACTGCCTGAGGGCCCGGGGTCAGTAGGGGGCCCCATGAGATGCCCCTGGTACCTTTTTCATAGGCTTTTTTTTGAGTTTGGGCAAGGACACAGGGGCCCCATGATCCCCTTTTGCCTGGGGGCCCCATGAGTTGTCAGTCCACCCTTGGGATCATGGGGCCCCTGTGTCTTTGCCCAAAATCAAAAAAGCCTATGAAAAAGGTACCAGGGGCATCTAATGGAGCCCCCTACTGACCCCGGGCCCTCGGGCAGTGCCCAAGTTTCCAAATGGTCAGTCCGCCCCTGGTTATGTTTTCTATCATTGCATACTACATGGCACTGGCCACCGATATTTAGCGCAGCACACTGGGTTATGTCTGGACAGCATTTTATTTGCTTTGTAACATTTTCCCATCAGTAAACACAGATGTCCTTCCGCTGGCGGTGAAAGTTCCGGGATTGCCAGAGTTCCGTTGCTGACAATTGCTGTAAAATTGTGTACAAACCATGAGAATAGCAGGGAGCGGATTTCCAGAATTGTCTGGGTTCCCCGATGTGCAGCTCAGCTCGCTGTCCACGACTTGGTGGGCTAAGAGTGACACCGATCCACGGAAATCTGGGTCCCGGGCTTGTGGAACCCTGCGGGGAACCCAGACGACACCCCAGGGAGTCATGGCACCTTGGATGAGAAACATTGCCTCAACTATTGATCAACATCTTCCCCAATCTGATGATTTGTTGAGTATAGATTGATTATTCCTATTGGAAAATAAATTGATCATTTATTGGAAGTGTGTATGACCACCATTATGGAAAGAGGTTCATAACAGAGCTGAGGAGATGATGATCACAGTTGTACCCTGCAGTACAGTGCAGTATATTATCTATCTTCTTGGGTTTAGATACAATGTACATGTGATCCCTGGCCTTCATCATTTCATGTACTGTTGTACAGGCTCCTCTCCTCTGATGGGAACTACAAAGTATCAGGACTCTGATGTATGGAGACTCTGATGTAAGGGGGCCTCTGATGGGGACTGTGATGTATGGAGATTCTGATGTAAGGGGGCCTCTTGGGGACTGTGATGTATGGGGATTCTGATGTAAGGGGGTGATGGGGATTGATGATGGGGAATCTGATGTAAGGAAAGACTCTGATGTAAATGGGGGGCTATAATGGGGACCCGATGTAAGGGGAGACATTGATGAGGACCCGATGTAATTGGGAACATTGACGAGAACACGATGCAAGGGAGGACTCTAATGGGACCCTGATGTAAGGGGAACATTGATGAGGACCCGATGCAAGGGGGGTTCTGATGGGGATCATGATGTAAGGGGGACTCTGATGGGGACCCGATGTAAAGAGGACTCTGATGGCACCCTGATGTAAGGGGGGGCTATGATGGGAACCCGATGTAAGGAGGACTCTGATGGCACCCTGATGTAAGGTGGGACTTTGATGGGGAATCTGATGTGAGGGGGTGTATTGATCATAAGTCTTATGTAAGGGGGGCACTGATGGGAAGCCAGATGTAAGGGGGAATTCTCCTATAAAACATATCCAATAAAAACATTTTAATAATTAAATTTCTTCATAAATTTAGGCCAAAATTATTATTATTAGTAGTATTATTGTTATTATTATTATTATTATTTATTGTTATTATTAGTAGTAGTATTATTTAGTACTAGGATGATTATTATTATTATTACTAGAAAATGGTATTAATAATACTAGCAGTGGTAGTAGTGATAGGAGTAGTAGTAGGATGATGATGATGATGAAGAAGAATTAGTAGTAGTAGGATGATGATGATGATGAAGAGTAATAATTAGTAGTAGTAGTAGGATGATGATGATGATAATGAAGAATAATAATTAGTAGTAGCAGTAGGATGATGATGATGAAGAATAATAATTAGTAGTAGTTGTAGGATGATGATGATGATGAAGAATAATAATTAGTAGTAGTAGTAGGATGATGATGATGATGAAGAATAATAATTGTAGTAGTAGTAGATGATGGATGATGATGATGAATAATAATTAGATGATGATGATGATGAAGAAGTAATAATTAGTAGTAGTAGAAGGATGATGTGATGATGATGAAGAATAATAATTAGTAGTAGTAGAAGGAGTAATAGTATGATGATGATGAAGAATAATAATTAGTAGTAGTAGGATGATGGATGAAGAATAATAATTTAGTAGTAGTAGGATGATGATGATGATGATGAAGAATAATAATTAGTAGTAGTAGTAGGATGATGATGATGATGATGAAGAAGAATAATAATTAGTAGTAGTAGTAGGATGATGATGATGATGATGAAGAATAATAATTAGTAGTAGTAGTAGATGATGATGATGATGATGATGAAGAATAATAATTAGTAGTAGTAGAGGATGATGATGATGATGATGATGAAGAATAATAATTAGTAGTAGTAGTAGGATGATGATGATGATGAAGAATAATTATATTAGTAGGAATGATGATGATGATGATGATGAAGAATAATAATAGTAGTAGAAGGATGATGATGATGATGAAGAATAATAAATAGTAGTAGTAGTAGTAGGATGATGATGATGATGAAGAATAATAATTAGTAGTAGTAGTAGGATGATGATGATGATGAAGAATAATATTATAGTAGTAGTAGGATGATGATGATGATGATGAAGAATAATAATTAGTAGTAGTAGTAGGAGGATGATGATGATGATGATGAAGAATAATAATTAGTAGTAGTAGGATCATGATGATGATGATGAAGAATAATAATTAGTAGTAGTAGGATCATGATGATGATGATGATGATGATGAATAATTAGTAGTAGTAGTAGGAGGATGATGATGATGATGATGATGAAGAATAATAAATAGTAGTAGTAGTAGTAGGATGATGATGAAGAAAAGAATAATTAGTAGTAGTAGTAGGATGATGATGATGATGATGATGATGAAGAAAAATAATTAGTAGTAGTAGTAGGAGGATGATGATGATGATGATGAAGAATAATAATTAGTAGTAGCAGTAGGATGATGATGATGAATAATATGGGGCAGCACAGTGGCTAAATGCTTAGCAGTTCCCGCCTGGCAGTACTAGGGTCGTTGGTTCGAATCCAAACCACGGCACCACCTGCCTGGAGTTTGCATGTTCTCCCTGTGCCTGCGTGGGTTTCCTCTGGGTACTCCAGTTTCCTCCCATACTCCAAAGACATGCTGGGAGGTGAATTGGCTCCTGTCTAAATTGGCCCTAGTATGTGTATGTATGAATGTGAGTTAGGGACCTTAGATTGTACGCTCCTCGGGGGCGGGGACTGATGTGAATGTACAATTATATATGTAAAGTGCTGCGTAAAATGACAGCGCTATATAAGTACCTGAAATAAATAAATAAATAATGATTATTATTAGTAGTAGGATGATGATGATGAAAGGTAATAATATTATTCGTAGTAGTAGGATGATGAAGAATAATATTTAGTAGTAGTAGTAATAGGATGATGATGATGAAGAAAAATAATAATGATAATAAACAGAAAACTCTGCTGTAATGCGAAGGATGTCAGAGCAGAAAGTGTCAAATTTGTGGATTGTAGACAAAGAACGTTATTGTTCTGTTATATTTGCCAAAACAGTGTTAGAGCCAAGGAGGGCGTTTTCCCTCCTGTGTGGCCCCGGGGCGCCCTCACCTAAGTGTCTATAGGTGCCCAAGGGAAAATAAAGCTCTGATTTAACTTTAAAATCGAAAGTACAAGTTAGCAAAAGAAAAAAACCTCAGCCCAGCCTGAAGGGAAATTTGAAATAATGAATTCTGTAACTAAAATGCCTCCAATATTTGATCCTGATCGGGGCTTGTCCTCTAAAATTGCTGAAACTCAATAACTGATGATCGGGGAAGCCGGCTGATGATCGGGGCTCTCTCCTTTAAATATGGGAGCCGGCTGATGATCGGGGCTCTCTCCTTTTAAATATGGAGAGCCGGCTGGGATGATGATCGGGGCTCTCTCCTTTAAATATGGGAGCCGGCTGATGATCGGGGCTCTCTCCTTTAAATATGGGAGCCGGCTGATGATCGGGGCTCTCTCCTTTTAAATATGGGAGCCGGCTGATGATCGGGGCTCTCTCCTTTAAATATGGGAGCCGGCTGATGATCAGGGCTCTCTCCTTTAAATATGGGAGCCGGCTGATGATCGGGGCTCTCTCCTTTTAAATATGGGAGCCGGCTGATGATCGGGGCTCTCTCCTTTTAAATATGGAGCCGGCTGATGATCGGGGCTCTCTCCTTTAAATATGGGAGCCGGCTGATGATCGGGGCTCTCTCCTTTTAATATGGGAGCCGGCTGATGATCGGGGCTCTCTCCTTTTAAATATGGGAGCCCAGCTGATGATCGGGGCTCTCTCTCCTTTTAAATATTGATGAGCCGGCTGATGATCGGGGCTCTCTCCTTTTAAATATGGGAGCCGGATGATGATCGGGGCTCTCTCCTTTAATATATGGGAGCCGGCTGATGATCGGGGCTCTCTCCTTTTAAATATGGGAGCCGGCTGATGATCGGGGCTCTCTCCTTTTAA